AAACAGGCCAGGGTCCCAGAGTGCTCCTGGGGTGCTGAGAGACCCCACTCTAGATGGGCCATGGGCTTTGCTTGTCCCTGCCGATGCTGCTTGTCCTCCAGTTCTTCATGGTTCAGTCTAAATCATGGCTCAGGAAGGAGCTGTCATGGATTTTTCCCCTTTTTGTCTTTCCCTGATCCATTCAGTGGGTCTGTCTCCCACTCAGCTCTGGCACTCAAGGCTGATGTCTACCTGCAACCTACAGAGTCCTCTCCAGCCACCTCACTCTCTGGCCAGTCCATCCTGAAGAAGCTGGACACCAGGCTGGGACTCCAGCCAGACAAACCACTCTGCCAAGGCTCTGTTGTGCTAATTAAATAGCAATTTTCGTTGTGCTTTGGGCCTTCCAGCCGCCCATGGCCATTTTTCATCTTTCTTGCAGACACTGGAGCCAAACAGGCCATTCTTTCCCTCCACCCACCTCCTCAGCCCCATACACCATCCCACTTCTCCAGAGTTGACCGCTAGCCTGAGTGGCTCCAGCCCAACAGCCTCCCAGGCAGACTTCAGGTCTTGCTTCTGTCCCACATGGTTCAATGACATCTGGTGTTTGATGGCTTCATAAGGTGACTGCCTGGGGTCAAAGCACATGTCCATGCAATGCCTTGGTTCTTGCAATGAGGCAGTGCTCAAACCAGGAGAATTTATGATGAAGGGAGGTGTTTGGGGTCATTTTCCTGGTCCAAAAGCATTTCTAGCAGATAGACTACTAAACTGGAGGTGGTTTCTCATATTCAGTAGCCCCCAGGAGTTCCTCCTCCATATATTTCTCCATCTACGACATCCCACGGTAAGGAGTCCCACGGGTGAACCACCCCTTTACTGTGAGGTTCTGTACCCTGCTCCTGCCAGGTCTGATGGTTCCCAGCTCCTGTGACTGAAGCACTGGTGGCCAGGAGAAAACTCTCTGCCCATCTCATGCTGCTCATGACTTCAGAAACTTCCCCCCATCACTCACCCTTTCCCCACTGGAGATCCCCAGTTTTCTCAGGTTCTCCTCAGACAGAATCTATGACAGAGCTTGGGGACATCCTCGTGGCCTTTCTTGGAGCCTTTTCTTCATCCAGGTGCGATTCCACCAGTGACCCAGTAGCATGGTTGCTCTCCTGCTGGTGCTGGAGTGTCTTTAGCTGCCAACAGCAGATGTTGTCATGACTCTCTTCCTGCCCATCATCATTGCACCTGGGCAGCTCCCCTGTGAGCTCCTGGGACCGTCAGACATTTTCCAGCACATTTCCTTTTCGGGGAAAGACAAACGTCTGGCTGAGAGGGCTGAGGGGAAGGGGCAGGCTTCGCAGTTTATTTTTACAATTTCCTTTTATTGTTATGGCTGGAGAGTCTCACCAGGCCTGGCTGTGGGTTTTAGCATGACTTCCCAAGAAAAGGAGACGGGTGCAGGAGTTACACCAGCCCATCTCTGTCCTTCCCAAGCACTTTGCAGAATATTTCAGCTGGATGCGAGAGCGGAAGGGAGGATGCTGCAGCAGAAGGGCTTTCTAGGTGCTGTGAACGCTGGAAGGGTGGAGGGAGAGGGCAATCTGAGACCCCCAGCGGGGAGGGAGCTGGGGTGGGTGCAGGGCAGGGAAAAGGATGTGGGCAGGGGATGCTGCCTGGCTTTGGTTTGCTGCCTGTGGTGTCAAGAGGAGAGGGAGATGCAAGGAGCTTGGAGACATTTGGTGGTCCATGTTGTATTACATAAGATGGGGACGACAAATTTACCAACTAACCCCAACCCTGCCATCACATAGGGCTGAGCCTCAGGCTGCTGGTGGCCACAGGGTTCATGAGCACTGAGCCCTTGTCCCACCCTCCTCATGGAGATACAAATTCCCATGTCACTGGGTACCCCGAAGAGTTCAGGATGGGGCCAGGAGCTGTGCAGGACATCCTCAGATGGGATGGCATTGATCAGGACCTCCCACATGCTGCCACAGCCAGGCTTCCTCAAAGTCCCATTTCTCACAGGACAAGCAGTGAGTGCAGCAGCGAGGGAAGGAGCGAGGATGAGGAGACCCGGTCCCGGCTCATCAACCGCATCATCCAGAATGATACTGAGGGGTACTCCACCGTGGAGGCACCACGGGCCGAGGGTGCCCCATTCAGCCTGCCAGCCCATCTCTACCCAGACGAGGTCCTGGATGACCTCACCATCTCCCCTTACGCCAGCTTCACATCGCTTTCCGAGCCCCGACCCACGATGCTCAGTGGCTGGCTGGACAAGCTCTCCCCACAGGGGTATGTGCCTGCCCATGGGACAGTCCCCATAAGTAAAGAAACCTCGGGCAAGACTGGTGAGGTGGCCATGCTGGTCACCATGTTACTGGGGCAGACAGACCTTCTTCACACAGGAGGACGACCCTCTTGGGTGACCCAGCTGTGCTGCAAAGGTGTCTGTGCAGCCATCCTTGGGGGAAATGGGGTCTGTGAGCAGATGTGGTGTCCTCGGTGGGATCATCCCCTTGCCAACAGCCCCTTTTTTCTGCCATCCCAACAGGAACTATGTCTTTCAGAGGCGCTACGTCCGCTTTGATGGGAAGAACCTGATGTACTTCAGCAGTGAGAAGGTACAAAGGGGCAGGATGAGGGCAGGGTGGGGAGGCTGCACCCCGCTGCTTAAGCAGGGTGCTTTGACAGCACGTGAGCTGCCATATCCCCTTTGCCTCCCCTTGTCCTTCTGTAAGGAGCCAGCAATGCCTTACCATCACCAGGGTGGAGTAGCCATAGCCCCATAGCTCAGGGACCTCTGGGCAGAGCTTCACGCCATAGTAAGCCCAGGATAGCAAGAGTCCCTCTGCCAACAAGGAGCAGGCAAGAGGGGGTCCTGCTGGCCCACAAGCCCTGGGGCAGACTGCAAATGGAGCATCTTTGGGTCCCAGACACAGACCCATCCCTGCCTGAACCCTCAGGTCCTCCCAGCTGCTGGTGCTCCCCAGGCTGTGCTGTGAGGCAGCACTGAGCCAAGAACCTGGGGGATGCAGAGTTGGGGTTGTTTCTCATTGTGATCACTGACACTGTGGGTTAGGTGCATGGGATGAGTCAACAGCCCTTTCCTGTCCCAGGTCCAGAGAGGGGATTCTGCCACTTTATTCTGCTCTGGTGAGACCTCACCTGGAGTATTGTGTGCAGGTCTGGAGCCCTCAATATAAGAAGGACATGGACCTGATGGAGAGGGTCCAGAGGAGGGCCACAAGGATGATCAGGGGGTTGGAGCACCTCTGCTACGAGGACAGGCTGAGGGAGCTGGGGTTGTTCAGCCTGGAGAAGAGGAGGCTCTGGGGAGACCTAATAGCAGCCTTCCAGCATGAGTCAACAGCCCTTTCCTGTCCCACATCTTCTTATCCTTCCATGGGGGCTCTGCAAAGCTCTGTAAGAGCCTGCCACCGGGTGCTGGTGGCTGCCACACCACGGGGTGACAGACATTGTTGCCCCAGTCCTGCAGCATGGCCAGCCAGGCCTGTACCACATCAGTGGCACCCATGCAGAAAGAGGTACCACGCACAGCCCCAGAGCAGCCACTACTGCAGAAGATTGCAGGCATCCCTGTCATGACACCTCACCCCCATGGTTATGGTGTCATCATACCCAGCAAGCTGGAGGTGCCCCGCAGGAAGAGCAAAGGGGGTAACCCCGCCTGGACTTCATTGCAGGAGCCCTACCCTAAGGGGGTGATCCCACTGTCGGTCATTGAGATGGCTCGCTCCACCAAGGACAACAAGTTCCAGGTCTTCACCAGCCATCGGATCTTCGTCTTTCGTGCTGAGAATGAAGGTAAGTGAAAACCTGGGCCAAGGTCTGCTGATCCCTGAGGAGACATCCCTGCCTCCCTCCTTCAGCCACAGCATCCCAGGGACAGCTCTCACCCCATCCCCAAAATTATCATCCTTCCATGGGGGCTCTGCAAGGCTCTGTAAGAGCCTGCCACCGGGTGCTGGTGGCTGCCACACCACGGGGTGACAGACATTGTTGCCCCAGTCCTGCAGCATGGCCAGCCGGGCCCGTACCACATCAGTGGCACCCATGCAGAAAGAGGTACCACGCACAGCCCCAGAGCAGCCACTACTGCAGAAGATTGCAGGCATCCCTGTCATGTCACCTCACCCCCATGGTTATGGTGTCATCATACCCAGCAAGCTGGAGGTGCCCCGCAGGAAGAGCAAAGGGGGTAACCCCGCCTGGACTTCATTGCAGGAGCCCTACCCTAAGGGGGTGATCCCACTGTCGGTCATTGAGATGGCTCGCTCCACCAAGGACAACAAGTTCCAGGTCTTCACCAGCCATCGGATCTTCGTCTTTCGTGCTGAGAATGAAGGTAAGTGAAAACCTGGGCCAAGGTCTGCTGATCCCTGAGGAGACATCCCTGCCTCCCTCCTTCAGCCACAGCATCCCAGGGACAGCTCTCACCCCATCCCCAAAATGTCCGGCTGCCATGAGCAAGGGCAATTCTCCTCTTCCATGCCTGCCGGCTGTTCTGCTCCATGCTGGGGCTGTTGGGAAGGGCTCAGACCCACTCTCACATGCCTGGTTCCCAGCCCAGAGGAACGAGTGGTGCTCCACGCTGCAGAAGAAGGTGACAGAACAGCGCCTGGTGGGCTCCCGGCCCCGACCCGCCAACACCGCTCACTGCCAGAAGTCAGGAACCCTGGAGCTGAAGGGCCAGAAGTCCAAGGTGTTTGCAGCCCTGAGCCTGCCTGAGATGTGGCTGTACAAGAGTGAGCAGGTTCGTGCCTGGACCAGACACCTAGTTAGCACAGAGGGCTGTGCCTATGGTGGACAGGGGTGAGAGGGATGGAGGGACGAAGGGATGGAGGGACCTTAGCAAGGGTCAGTGCCAAAGGGAGAGCAGAGAGGAAAAGGACAGGCAAGAGAAAGGGGATGGTGGAGCAAGATGGTGGTGCAGGATGCTGGAGATGAGGGCAGATGTAGTGGGAGCCTGGGCTTGGAGATGTCGGGAGCAGGCCCCGCTTCCGATCTCCTCACTATCACCAAATTGTCTTCATCTCTGCCCCAGCACTTAGGTCTTAGTCCCACCAAAGTGTGTCCCAATCCATCACAGGACAGGTGGGTCAATGACTACAAAATCACCTGCAAACATACCTACTGCAACACAGGCTTGCCTCAGGGGAGTAGCAGGTCTCTCTTGGCCCGTTGCACCCTGCCCATGGAAATCCCCACCTCCTGCCTGCTGAATTTTCTCAGCACTCCCATTTTTTTCCCAGTCACCTCACTGCCAGTTTGCCTGGTGTACACTAAGCAGCATCAAGCCTCTGTTTTTTGCTCAGGTTGATACTTGCTTTATGAGTGTTCCTGACTCACAGTGGACTCAAATCCCCAAAACAGAGGGGATTTGAGTGGCCGGGTTTGGGGACTGTAGGAAAAACTTACCTTTCATTTCATAATATATTTGCTGAACACTTTCTGCCAGCCCACGTGGGATGGCTGAGGGATGTGGCAGGGTACCAGGTCTCACTGGTCCAAGCAGAGCAGTGATGGGAGTGGAGGTATGAAGCACAGCTCCCTGGCTCCAGCCCCAGCATCACGGGCATGTCCAGGGCGGTGTGTCCCCTGTGGCCGTGGTGCTGCAGACCCAACACCAGTGTCACTCTGAATTGCAGTTCTTTAAAATGGGCATTGCCATCTGCGTGATTGAGATGCGTGGCTCTACCATCCGTGAAGCCAAGAACCGCAGTTTTGAGCTCATCACACCTTCCAAAATCTTCAGGTACCCTGGGTGTCCGGGTGGGATGAGGTAGGGGAGCAGCTGGGGGCTGGACCTGGGTGATGGGAGCTCCAGGCCCCTGAGTTTCAGTTGTGCTGGTGCTTGTAGCTTCGTGGCAGAGTCAGACCGGGAGAAGCGGGAGTGGATGGAGGCCCTGCAGGAGGCCATAGCCGAGATGCTCTATGATTACGAGGTGGCAGAGAAGATCTGGTCCAACAAATCCAACAAATACTGTGCAGACTGCTTGGCTCAGAATCCTGACTGGGCATCCATCAACTTGTGTGTGGTCATCTGCAAGCAATGTGCAGGCAAGTACATCTCCCTTGGGGGGCACATGGGACTCCTGGCGGGTATGGGCTGGGCCAACCTGGGCCCAGGTACCCCCTGGGTGGGCTATGGGTGAGACTTGGGTGCTGTTCCCCTGGCATGATCAAGGGATGCTCACTTGCCTGCTCTCCACAGGGCAGCACCGCAGCTTGGGCTCCAACATCTCCAAGGTGCAAAGTCTGAAGCTCGACACTAGCGTCTGGTCCAACGAAATCGTACAGGTAGAGACTCTCAGGTCAGGTCACTGGGGCTGGCACAGCATGCTCAGGGGCCAGGCTGATTCACCAGGCAGAGCAGAAGTCCCATGGTCTCCCCCAGGATGCGGGGTTGACGGGCATCCTGCTCCTTCCATCTGGCCCTGGTGCTCGCCATGACCACGGGGTCTCTCCTGCAGCTCTTCATCGTGTTGGGAAATGACCGAGCCAACCGGTTTTGGGCCGCTCGTCTCCCTGCTGCTGAGGCCCTCTACCCGGATGCCAGCGCTGAGCAGAGAAGGGATTTCATCTCCCGCAAATACCGAGAGGGTCGGTACCGCCTGCCCCATCCCCATTATGCCACTCAGGAGGACGTGCTCCAGGTAGGGACCACCTCTGATGCAGGCAGGATGGTAGAATGTTGGGAACCACCCCAGAGCACTGGGTCTGAGATGTCAACACCTCCTGCTTGGCTGCATGTGCCCATGCCCCCATGCCAAGCAGTCCTGGGGTCTTGAGTGGGAGGTTGTGCCCTGCTTTGCCTGCCTTTGAACACCCCTGGCAGTGGACTGGGGGTCTCCGTGAGCCAGGACATGGTCTCTACAGGCATTTGTCTCATCCCAGGCACTGTGCACTGCGGTGGTAGGACCAGCCCTGCTCAAGACCGTCCTGAAGTTCTTCTCATCCTCGGAGGCTGGGCTGGCAGCTGACCCTGCTGCCTCTGAGGTGGCCCCTGGGGCTGACCTTTGGTGGCCACCAGAGAGCAAAAGACCCAGGAACCATTCAGGTAATGAGGGCCCTCTAGCCCTTTCCTCTTTGCTTCTGCCCTCCACAGCGTGCCCCAAGGCGGGGGACAGACATAAGGTGCTATGGCTCTCTGGGAGACCTGCCTGCCCCACTGCACCCCTCTTTTGGGATGAAGCAAGGCGGCAGGTCCCTCTGAAGCCCCTTTTCAGGGAACCCTGTGCCTGCTGCATCCCCTTGCTTACCCCTGCATGTGTGGGGTCTCCTTGTCTCCCAGTACCCACCTTTTGGTGGGTGCCTGCTCCTGCCTCACTCTCAGCACCGTTCCCCACAGGTAGCCCCCACATACGGGAACTGGGTCCAGAGGGTGTCTACAACGAGATCACGCAACCAGTGACACACAGCGGGTACCTGTACCGGGCCACAGCCCCCACCAAGCTCCCAGGTGTCAAGAAAAACAAAGAGGGTAAGTGTAGGGAGTGTGGGGGCGGAGGGCAGTCAGTGGGATGTCCACCCTCATGCTACTGAGTCTCTGATCCCGCAGACTTCCAACGCACGTGGTGCTCCCTGGAGAGAGCCCTGCTCTTCTTCGAGACGGAGAAATGCACCGAGCCCCTGGGTCACATCGAGAGTGGGGACCTAATCTCCCTGGGTGTGAGCAGAGCCCAGGCACTTACCACTCCCGGCTCCACCGAAAGGTACCCCCAGCCTTGCCCCCACTGCTTGCCCAGAGAGCCCATGGGCACACAGAGGGCAGGGACAGGCATCGCTTCCTGCTTAGTGCAACGTTCTGGTCTGGCTCTGGGTGCAGGTTCAGGGTAGGGACTGTCCTGATGGGCTGGTTTGCCCTCTGCAGGTTTCGCTTCACCCTCGAGCTCTTCCTCATGGGTGAAAAAGTGCAGCAGCTGGGAACTGATGGACCGGAGACACTGCAAGCCTGGGCCAGTGCCATTGGCAAGGTGAGCTAGCCCCATACATAGCACCCTGTGCCACTGGTGGGTCCCCGGGCTCCATCCCTGCTTCCCCACTGTAATTCCTCCCAGCTCCCCACCCTCTTCATCCTCTTCACCCTCCTTCCCTTTGCAGGGGGTCCCATTCTCCCCAGTGTCCTGCCCCCATTCTCAGGGGGGTCCACACTCAGGGGCCGAGCCCTGACTTTATCCGTCTTGTCTCTTCCTCCATCCCACAGTGGTTCACACCCGTGAGCTGTCACTGCCTGCTGGGCTACGAGTTCCAGCGCGTGGGCCAGCTGCGCTATAAGTGCATGCTCAACCCCGAGCGGTGGCAGCAGGCCTTCTTCATCCTGCAGAAAGCCCACCTCTTCATCTGCCCTGCCGAGGACAATGGAGCTGAGGATAGTATCAACCTCCGGCGGCTGCAGGAGCTCAGTGAGTGCCATGCTGCAGCCCGGGACAGGCACCACATGGTGGGCAGCCATGCACAGCTTTGACCCCTCTACTTCTTACCCCAATGCAGGTCTGGTTCCCCCCACGGAGACCCCAGAGAAGAAGGAGCTGCTGCTCCTGGTGGAGATGGGAAGGTGGGTTGTGTCTGTGGAATGTACCAAGTGAGCTCAGGAGGCTGCCCAGGACAAAGGCATGTTGGGAAAAATGCTGATCCCAAACCCTTAGTAGGGGTGCTGCTGGGACAGCAGGGCTGTGGCCAAGGGGCTTTCAGAAGTCATCCCAGCCCAGGGCAGGGCGTCACCCCAGGGTAGGGTGTCTCCTGGCTCAGCTGGACTGTGCCCTGTCCCAGAGCAAGGTAGTAGGGGGTAACCCACCCCCCCACCCCAGCAACCTTCATTCCCTCTTCTCTGCCCTTGTCGTTCTCAGGACATTTTACCTGCAGGGCTTGTCACGGGCGGACTCAGCGGCGTGGTACGCCGACATCCAGGCATCTGCAGGGGGGAGAGGTAATGCACTGAAGGATCAGCAGCTGAGCCGGGGGGACATCCCCATCATCGTGGACAGTTGCATCGCCTTCATCACACAGTACGGTGAGTCCAGTGCAGTGGCATCACTGCTGGAGCATCCTCCAGCACACATGGGGCAGCTGAGGGGTCCAGGCAGGAGGCACCACTCTCAGGGCACCACGCCCCCCTGGGGACTCTCTGGACAGGATTGGGCACCCATGACCCTATATCCCCACCCCAGGGCTGCGGCACGAGGGGATTTACCGCAAGAATGGAGCCAAGTCCCGGATCAAGGTACTGATGGAGGAGTTTCGGCGAGATGCCCGCAATGTCAAGCTGCGCATCAATGACAACTTCATCGAGGATGTCACCGATGTGCTGAAGAGGTTCTTTCGCGAGCTCGAGGACCCTGTCTTCACCCTGGAGCTGCACCCACAGTGGAAGGAGGCTGCAGGTACCTCCTTCACCCAACCCCTGCTCCTATGTTGGGCTGCCTGCCAGGGACCCCTGGAGCTGGTGTCCCTCAGGACGGGGCCCTCGTACTAGCCCTGGAGCCAAGTCAACTCTGTGTCCACCAGACTCAGAAATAGTCCATGACTCACTTTCCTCCCTCCAGGAATCTCTTCGAAGCCCCAACGCCTGGAGAGGTACAAGGAGCTCATTCATCGCCTGCCTCGCCTCAACCGCAAGACACTGGCTGCGCTGATCGGGCACCTCTACCGGTCAGTGGAGGTGACCTCCCTTCCAGGTCTCCTGCTCCAGTCAGGGTCCCCAAGGCCCGCTAGCAGTGTGAGGTCTCTCCGCTGCCCAGGGAACACTGACTTTCAACCCTGCAGGCCAGGAAGAACCCAGTGCCCATGCTCTGCCCCACCAGCCCCCAAGTTGGTGCTGGGTTGTGCTGCAATATCTACTCTGGGATACCTCAAAAGTTCCCAAAGTTGCCCTGCAACAAGGGAGAGTGACAGGATGTTTGGAAGTAGCTGACACTCCCCTATAGGATGTAATCTTCGCAAGTGCACAAAAAGAGGGGAAAAAACCAAATTCCCATCCCCGACTCAGTATAAGGTGGTCCTGTTGCC